AAAAATTATCCCTTTAATTATTTTTTATGTTTTCACATTACTATTATTATTTCTATATTTCACTAAAAAATAATTTTACGAAAGAAAAAAAGGATGTATTAATATATATATATATATATGGACATATTTCATGTATAATTATGCATGTTTATAAATATTTATGCGTGTTTATGTATATTTATATTTATGCATATTCGTGCATAAAAAATTTTTTTATCGGGAAAATAGATAAAATAAACATAATTTCCATTTTGTGGAAGAAATGTTTCCTTTTTTGATATACTTTTCAATCGACGAGCGAGTTCCTTGGTAAACAAAATGTTCGCTAATTTGGATTGTGCATAACTTCTGATCGGCCTGTAAGATCTCTCCAAATTAATATCATCGAAGTCTATATCAGCAACTATAATAAGATTTTTTGTTACAATTGTACTTTAAATGAGAATCCTAAATATAATAAATATTTGTTTTTCATTTTTAAACTACAATAATCATTTTACATACACATATGTACAATTGATGAGACATTGATTATTCTGCAATTGGGAGAAGACTTCTGCATTTTTGGCAATAATAGAAGTGTCAAAAGAAAATGACCAAGGTGGTTGACTTGTAATGTCGTCTGATTCCCATCCTCCGTTTTCTTATTTGGATATGTAGCCACACCGGCATTATTTACAAGTATGTGAATAGCTGCTTCGTTTGTTAGCAAATTTTTAGCGCAATCTCTTACGTTTTTTAAACTACGTAGATCCAGAAAGTAAATCGCAAGCTCACCAACGTTATTTTTATATTTACTTTTCTCGAATCTAAAAATAATCATAAAATTAAAAACCACATCGTCATTTTTTCAACAAAACTTTAATTAAAATATATATTTCATAAAGAGAAAAAAAGAAAATTAAAGGATATAATAATGAACTTAATTCTTGTTAAATTAATACCTCGAAAGTTTAGGATTATTTTTTATATCTTCAACTGCTTTATTTGCCTTTTCCATATTTCTACAAGCCAGAATTACTCTAGCACCTAAATGAACAACACATTATTTATACAAATGTATTTGAAAATGCATTTTATTAGATTGTTCGAAAAGTTTATAGAGAGTTGAAGAATAAAATAAAATATTAATTATTGATAAATTTAAATGTATTTTTATTCAATAATTGCCATTTTTTTCGATGATCCTTTATCATTCTGTGAGTGACTTTATTATATTATCATTTGCCTAAAATTTCATTTCATCATCATTAACAGTTGAAGATGTAACTGAACGATCCAAAGAAATCTTTTACCAGTATTCATAGTGCGTTCTTATATTTAAAATCATTTTAACTATGATCTTAAAATATTACAAAACAATAAGAACCACAGATCCGTATTAGCATCTTGAGACATTATTTGAGATATTACTTGAAATATTAATGATGATATTCGATATTTTCGCTTGTCATTAATCAAATCATATTTATATTATACTTAAAGGCACAATTATTATTATATGTTTTAATCAATAACAAATTTATATTTCATTTATATAAAATATCTATTTAAATTTCAAAGTTTAAATATAACTTAAATTATCATTTTAGTAAAATTACCTCTCGCGTATAAATCTCTAGCAGTCTCTTTGCCGATACCACCACTCGCTCCGGTTATCACAACAGTTTTGCCATCAAGACGTGTTTTGCTTGTACATGTTTTATTGAGAAACCACATTTTATAGTCCTTTTTGATCTATTAATATACTATTAATTAATATACTATTGATTATTTTTACTGGAATTCATTCACTATCAATTTCACTGAATTTATCGATTTTATTGACGTTCATTGACTAGCCATACGTTCGTGTATTCATATTCTTATGGACTGTCTATTAGAAACGCTGCTTGAAAATTTTCCATTTCCATTTGAGAACATGAGTATATTATACGATTACACTCTAAAGTAGGGAGTGAAGAAAAGTGAGGGAAAGTGAAAGGAACGATGAATATTGCGCACTACAATAAATAGTCACGATTTTCATGATAAAACAGACTTAAAAAGTAGTAATTATATATTCTAACAGAGAGAGACGCAAATATACATTCCTTCAGAACCTGTCGTATCGACCACGCATAAATCGAATGCACTATACATTTCAGATGCACTATTAATTTTACATAAGTTCATATATATGTAAAAAATACTAATCTAATAGTATAATATATAAGAGTTCGCACAGGATAAAACTTATAGCGTTTTCCATTGAAAAAATTGATACGGTACCAGCGTCGTGCTAGATTTCAATAAAAACTACACTAGCGCAGCATCAAAAATTTGTTGAATTGCTAGTCGATTTAACTCGTGATATTCCTGCGATAGTTTAGTAGAGTTTTCAAAACCGAAAAATCATTTCGGCGCGCGTTTCTGGAGACTACATACGTAGTATATAAATTCACACAAGAATTATACAAGCATTTAAGATTCAGCTAGACCGTTTAAGCCTTTGATTTCTACAGTTTATGTAATATGAATACCTTAGCATAAACATCCTTAGTAAACAAGAAACATTATTGAATGTTTCAACAACATTGTTACAATGTTGCTGCAACGTTGTTGGAATGTTCCAAAATGTTTCTTGCTTACTGGGCCTTAATTTCAATTTGCATTGGCTTCAAAAGTGGTGAAGAAAAAGTTGAACTCAGTGCAAGTTTTTTGCAATGGAATTTTATCAATGGAATATTAAACTGAAAAAATATTTTGAACTGGTTTTTACAGTAGAACAATAAAGTTGCACTCATTACGCACTAACGTTGCACTGGTTCTCTCAGTGGAAAACGCTATTAATCTTTCAGTATTATTAAAGATCTTTGCCGTAAAAGATGCTATTAAAAAATGTTGATTTTCACAACGCGAATCACGAGCAATTCTAAAATTAAATAAACTCACTAAAAATCTTTGCTTTTTGCCGCAAAAAATGTATATTGGAAACGAAGACTAACTCGATTTCAAGAATTGTTAGAAATTGTCAATCTTAAACGAATTGAAGCTCGCGAATATATAACTGAAACTTTGCAGTGACTACTGTATTAGTGATGATATGGGCCGCTTTTCTAACGCATGCACAGTGCATACCTCAGTATCATGTCACCTTTGACATTGGCAAATGTCAAAGGTGACATGATCACTGTGTCACATTGTGTCACTTGTGTCGCTTATTGAAAATATACTATAACTAGTATTATACAATAAAACATAACTAGTATTATACAATAAAACAAAACTTTTTTATATGTTAGTAAGAGATAATAAAAAAATGAATAACTTTTTTCTTCATAAAATTAATCTAATGATGTTGAATCCATATCGATATTTTTAGAAACATTTTTCACAATTTTTTATTTTAAAGCAAGAGTTTAAGATACATGAATTGAAATGATGATATACTTATACAGTTATTGGAATAATTTTTGTTTTTATAGTATCTTTTTTTTATTTATTTCATTTATTAAAAATGAAAATAAAATTATATATAAGTATATTAAAAATTCCTCTTATATAAATCTCTTAAAAATAAAAAAGAAATTTCTAAAGCATTTGACGTGAAACGGTTTCCAAAAATCTGGTAAAATCTTCTTCTGGTTCCAGATGTAAAAGATGACAGGATGTATTCCACAATTTTATAGCATATTGACGATTGTTTGCATTTCGAGATGAAGTAGCTACATTGCAATTTCTATATATAAACATTAATGAAAGAAAGTTAATGTGGAATTGAATACATACTATATTCTGTATAAGAATAATTTTGTAAAAATAATTTATGTATAGTGAATTCTTACGAATAATAAAGACCGGTATCATTAACTGTCTTTTCATCTACCGAACAATATATTGTCGTTTGCACTCCTTGTTCAATATTCTTTTTATAAAGAAATGGCCCAAATACACTAAAAACAAAGTTTGCACCCGGAAACATTGTGTTTCTGACATGATCCCATATTTCGGTTTGTATAACACCAGGATGTAAACAGTATGTGTTTATTCCGTGAATATTTGCCTCTGAAAATCAAAACTTGGATAATTTTTTATACTTTGTATAAATTTTTTATAACCTTTGCACAATTTTCATTATTGTATAATAAAAACCATTAATAATTAACAATTATTAAATATTAATTAATATTAAATATGACTTATTGTAATTAATAATATTTTTACTTCTCAATCGATTAGTTAATTCCTTTGTGAACAGGATGTTTGCTAGTTTGCTTCGTGCATAACTTTTAAATGGTGTATAAGATCTCTCCAGGTTAATATCATCGAAATCTATGTCAGCAACTATAATAAAACATTTTTCTTACAATTATATTTTAAATGCAAATACTTTAAACAAAAAAACATTCGTTTTTCATTTTTAAACTATAATCGTTTTACGTACACATATGTGCATTTGACGAGACATTGATTATTTTGCAATTGGGAGAAGACAATTGCATTTTTGGCAATAGCAGAAGTGTCAAAAGAAAATGGCTGAGATGGTTGACTTGCAGTGTCATTTCATTCCCGTCCTCTGTCTTCTCTAGAGAAAACGATGCTCCTATACCGGCATTATTTATAAGCATATGAATAGCTGCTTCGTTCGTCAGCAAATTTTTTGCGCAATCCTTTACGCTCTTCAAGCTACATAGATCCAGAGAACAAATCGCAAGTTCTCCTGCGTTATTTTTATATTCATCTTTATTGATTCTAAAAATATAGTCATAAATTTAAAATTTATATCATCATTTTCAACATGTAAAAATTTAATGAAAATAAATATAATTTTATAGAGCGAATAAGAAACAAAGCAAATAGTACATAATTTAATTTATTCTTATTATGTTATTTATTATGTTATTTATTCATTTACCTTGAAGGTGGATTATTTTTTATGTCTTCAACTGCTTTATTTGCCCTTTCCATACTTCTACAAGCCAGAATTACTCTAGCGCCTAAGTGCATACATTATTTAAAGTGTGTGTGTTTAAGAGTATATACTTTATTTATGAAGTTGTAAAAGAATCTTTATGAAGTTCTAAATAAGATAAAGAGAACCGAAAAAGTCTAATATTCTAGTAAAGAAATGAATGTAGTATCTTTTTTATGAACTATTTTTATACGACATATTTCATTTCTTACATAATACATTTCTTACACTTTCTTACATAATTTCTTACATAATATATAGATCATATTGCTTACGACATTTCTTACATAATATATAGATCATATTGCTTGAAATGTCCAAAATTATACTTAAAATGAAATAATATATTTATTGAGAAAGCAAAGATTCTGAAAGTAAAAATACTAAATACAACACGAATAATCTTATAATAATATTTTGGACTCAGATTTCCAGACAAAAAAAAGTGTCTGAAATCGTGTTAGATGTTTTTTTTCCCGTTTAACAGACAACTTAAAGACGTCTTATCAATTTTAGACTTTGTGTTGCTCAATCAATAACACATATTTTATTTTTTTTTATATAATGAATTTCAAATTCAGAATAACTTAAATTTTATTGTAAATATTTTAATAAAACTACCTCTTGCGTATAAATCTCTGGCAGTTTCTTTCCCAAGACCTTTACCTGCTCCTGTTATTATAATAGTTTTACCATCAAGGCGTGCTTTGCTCGTACACATTTGATTGAACAAGTATTTAGAGAACCGTAACATTTTATGATTCTCTTCTCTTCACAACATATATAATTGTCTACTCTCTAAATCTGAATCAGTGAATTAATCACTGATATCAATATCACTGGATAATTGACTATTCACCTGAAACAAGTCGAAATAGGAATTATTCAATTATATTCCCTAGATCCCTCTTTTGTGTATTCTGGAGAAAATGGAATAATTCCGATCGGAATTCATTTCCATGATAGGTTCCATGACATGTTCCATGATAGGTACCCAGATTTAGAGATATTAGAATTCTCACTTTCACTCACTATGCTCTATTCGATACTGTGATATTTGCTATTACTTATCGAATAATCACGCGCTTGAGTTTTCGTATATTTATAGATTTGAAAGAATAATAAAGGCTAGCTTAAAAATAAAGAGAGTAGGAAAGTATACAGTGAAGGTGGAGAAAAATGTGAAGGTTGCAATAATTAAAAGAATTACTATTCCGTTGGCTTCTTTTGCCGAATTTACAATTGTAGTACAGTGGATACATTTTTAACTATATTAGCACCCTGATATTACATTGCAGAAAAGATAATAAGCAATTGAAAGATAAACAAAATTTTTGTAATAGCTCAATCTTATACATTTTTATCTTTTTGTACAATTTATTTTTTTGGTTCTGTTAACTCGAGATTTATTCCAATTATTCCAATGCTTTTGGAATCACACTGAAAAAAATTTTGATAAATATTAATAACAACGAAAGCAGCTCCGATAAACCTTAATCTTGACATATGTTATGACATATGTTGATCCTGAGTAACTTTTAACAGATTTTAGCTTCTTCGTTAAAAAGTTATTAATAAAAAAATAACGTTTAAAAAAATAACGTTTTATTTCTAAATATAATATTGAAAAATATCAATAAATAACAATAATGATAAATGAACACTGAATATCTATGTAGAATTATCTAATGATTCTAACGAATACAATTCGCTTATTATTTCAAAAAAACGTTCAATACGCTTGTTAAAAGTATAAAAGGATGGGAGGGGGAGGGGGGGGAAGTGAGAGTCGAAGATAAGAGTCGTGCGCCCCTTTACAGAGGGGAGAGTCGAAAGTGAAAGTCACCTAAAACCTGTTGAAGGTCTATCAAAATCATGATCTTGACGACACATGTCAAAATCGCGGTCGTCAAGGCATTCCTTGCAGTGCACAATTATTAAACATATTTTAAAGCAGATAATTTTCGTGTTATATAGTTAAATTTCTTTTGTTAATAATTTCTTAACAAATAACGAGCGACGGCTAAGACTTGTTGTGGAGACATATGTTAAGGTCAAGATTGTCAAACTTCCGTTATTATTAATCAAAATTTTGGTCATTGTTGAGCTAATGAATGATCAATTAATATCTGACTTAATGTCTGTTACTTAATTCATTGATATAATAACTGATTCATTGATATTATAACTAATTCATTTACATAACTACATTCATTCTTGTAATGAATTCTAATAATTTTATAATCTAAATCATTAGATTCAATCATTAAAAATATATATATA